TTTTTGAAAACAGCAACAAAATAGATAGACCACTAGCCAGACTAATAAAGAAGAAAAGAGAGAAGAATCTAATAGACACAATAAAAATAAAGGGGATATCACTACTGATCCCACAGAAATACAAAGTATTATCAGAGAATACTATAAACACCTCTATGCAAATAAACTAGAAAATCTAGAGGAAATGGATAAATTCCTGGACACATACACCCTCTCAAGACTAAACCAAGAAGAAGTTGAATATCTGAATAGACCAATAACAAGTTCTGAAATTGAGGCAGCAATTAATAGTCTACCAACCAAAAAAAGTCCAGGACCAGACGGATTCACGGCCAAATTCTACAAGAGGTACAAAGAGGAGCTGGTACCATTTCTTCTGAAACCATTCCAAACAATACAAAAAGAGGGAATCCTCCCTGACTCATTTTATGAGTCCAGCATCATCCTGATACCAAAATCTGGCAGAGACACAACAAAAAAAGAAAATTTCAGGCCAATATCCTTGATGAACATTGATGTGAAATCCTCAATAAAATACTGGCAAACCAAATCCAGCAGCACATCAAAACGTTTATCCATTACAATCAAGTAGGCTTCATCCCTGGGATGCAAGGCTGGTTCAACATATGCAAATCAATAAATGTAATCCATCATGTAAACAGAACCAATGACAAAAACCACATGATTATCTCAATAGATGCAGAAAAGGCCTTCAACAAAATCCAGCACTCCCTTATGCTAAAAACTCTCAATAAACTAGGTATTGATGGAATGAATCTCAAAATAGTAAGAGCTACTTAGGAAAAACCCACAGCCAGTATCATACTGAATGGGCAAAAACTGGAAGCATTCCCTTTGAAAACTGGGACAAGACAAGGATGCCCTGTCTCACCACTCCTATTCAACATAGTATTGGAAGTTCGGGCCAGGGCAATAAATCAAGAGAAAGAAATAAAGGGTATTCAGTTAGGAAAAGAGGAAGTCAAATTGTCTCTGTTTGCAGATGACATGATTGTGTATTTACAAAACTCCGTCTCAGCCCAAAATCTCCTTAAGCTGACAAGCAACTTCAGCAGAGTCTCAGTGTACAAAATCAGTGTGTAAAAATCACAAGCATTCCTATACACCCAAACAGACAAATCATGAGTGAACTCCAATTCACAATTGCTACAAAAAAAATAAAATACCTAGAAATATAGTTTACCAGGAATGTGAAGGACCTCTTCAAGGAGAATTACAAACACTGCTCAAGGAAATAAGAGAGGACACAAACAAATGGAACAGCATTCCATGCTCATGGATAGGAAGAATCAATATCGTGAAAAGGGCCATACTGCCAAAAGTAATTTATAGATTCAATGCTATCCACATCAAGCTACCATTGACTTTCTTCACAGAATTGGAAAAAACTACTTCAAATTTCATATGGAACCAAAAAAAGAGACTGCATAGCCAAGACAATCCTAAGCAAAAAGAAAGAAGATGGAGGCGTCACGCTACCCGACTTCAAACTACACAAGGCTACAGTAACCAAAATAGCATGGTACTGGTACCAAAGCAGATATATAGACCAATGGACCAGAACAGAGGCCTCAGAAATAACGCCACACATCTACAACCATCTGATCTTTGACAAACCTGACAAAAACAAGCAGTGGGGAATAAATGGTGTTGGGAAAACTGGTTAGCCATGTGCAGAAAGCTGAAACTGGATCCCTTCCTTACACCTTATACAAAAATTAACTCAAGATGGGTTAAAGACTTAAACTTAAGACATAAAGTCATAAAAACCCTAGAAGAAAACATAGGCCATACCATTCAGGACATAGGCATGGGCAAAGACTTCATGACTAAAACACCAAAAGCAATGGCAACAAAAGCCAAAATAGATAAATGGGATCTAATTAAACTGAAGAGCTTCTGCACAGCAAAAGACACTATCATCAGAGTGAACAGGCAACCTACAGAATGGGAGAAAACTTTTGCAATCTATCCATCTGACAAAGGGCTAAAATCCAGAATTTACAAAGAACCTAAACAAATTTACAAGAAAACTACGAACCCCATTAAAAAGTGGGTGAAGGATATGAACAAATACTTTCAAAACAAGACATTTAATGCAGCCAACAAACATAGGAAAAATAGCTCATCATCACTGGTCATTAGAGAAATGCAAATCAAAACCACATTGAGATACCTACCATCTCACACCAGTTAGAATGGTGATCATTAAAAAGTCAGGAAAAAACAGATTCTGGCGAAGATGTGGAGAAATAGGAATGCTTTTACGCTGTTGGAGGAAGTGTAAATTAGTTCAACCATTGGGGAAGACAGTGCAGCGATTCCTCAAGGATCTAGAAATAGAAATATCATTTGATCCAGCAATCCAATTACTGGGTATATACCCAAATGATTATATATCATTCTCCTGTAAAGACACATGCACATGTATGTTTATTGCAGCACTATTCACAGTAGCAAAGACTTGGAACCAACCCAAATGCCCATCAATGATAGACTTGATAAAGAAAATATGGCGCACATACACCATGGAATACTGTGTAGCCATAAAAAGGATGAGTTCATGTCCTTTGCAGGGACACGGATGAAGGTGGAAACCATCATTCTCAGCAAACTAACACAAGAACAGAAAACCAAACTCCACTTGTTCTCCCTCACTCATGGGTGGGAGTTGAACAATGAGAACAGATGGACACAGGGAGAGGAATGTCACATACTTAGGCCTGTTATAGGGTGGGGAGGGATAGCATTGGGAGAAATACCTATTGTAGATGACGGGTTGTTGAGTGCAGCAAACCACCACGGCACCTGTATACCTATGTAAAAACCTGCACGTTCTGCACATGTACCCCAGAACTTAAAGTATAATTTAAAAAAATGGTATAGTTGTGTAATACACATTTAGGAAAGCCTAGGGAAAAAAGAGAAAGATATATAACTACTCAAGAACAGAAAAAAATAACATTTTTCTTAAGGCCAAAAGGAACCATTATAGAAAAGTTGTTGATGCTTAAAAAATAACAAACAATACTAGGTACAGAGATTACATGATCATTTATTATATCACTAGTCTCACATTTTTACTTCCGGTATAGTGTAGTACCTTTCTATTTCAGACTAATGCCAGTAACCATTTTAAAATTAAAGTCGGAATTTCTTCAGTGATTTCTCGTCACTTAAGGATAAAATCAGACTGCTTAGCTTTCAGTCTTGGGACCCTTTCTTATCTGTCCATCTTGGTTTTTTCCCTTCTCTCTCTGCCACTCTGCTATCTCAAACTTGATCCTGCAGTAGTACCAGTATTCATCAGATATATTGTACGTCTTCATGCTGCTTTTTAAAGTGTGGTCCCCAGAGACATCAACATAACTTGGAAACTAGTTAGAAATACAATTTCTTGGGCTCTACTTCAAGGCCTACTGAATCAGAAATTCTGGGAGGAAGGGCTAAGCAAGCTAAACAAGCCTTCTAGGTGATTCTGATGTACCCTAAATTTGAAAACCACCACCTTAACCCTTTTCTTTTTTAATCTCAGCCATTAATTACCATACTTTCAATATCACTTTTATTTCTGCACCTCTTAATCTGCATCTCAAACTCAAGTCGGCAGTCCTATTTTTTAAGCTGTATGTTGGACAGCTGTCCTGGATATCCTTTCATTACTTCACACTGTCGAGGCCCTGTAGGCCCTGAACAAAATTCATTATCCATCTCCTGAAATCTGTTTTACATACTGTTTCCTATTTTCTCCCAGCCTTGCAGCTTAGACTCTTAGATTGTACAGTATTTTCTCATTATTTTTTATGTTGTCTTGCCACAGAGGAACAGGGAAGAAAAAAAAAGATGAAAAAAAAAAAACTCTGCTAACCAAAAAAGGGTCAGGATTTTTCAGGCAATAAAGTTAACATTATTTGTAGAGCATCTGTTAAAATGTATTTTTATCTTACTCTCCCTTACTTTTTCCCTCCTCCTCTCTGCCTCTTTCCTTGCTGTATTCTTCTTTCTCTCTCAAGAACATTAGAGACTATTTATTTTTAATCTTTACCTCAGTTGTGGAAGTTCTGTGGTAAAGCTGGAAAGGTAAAAGCTTGTACCAGCTTCAGATGTTGAAGCCAGGCAACATTTCAGATATCCCTGAACAGGTCCTACAGTAGGTTTTCAATAAATATTTTCTAAGTGAGTAAGTTAGCAAGTAGATTAATCTCAAAGGACTGGGCAGATCTCCAAGGTCAAAAGCGCATAGTGAGATTGTGGCTGGAGACATTAGAAACTTAAAGGATTTAAGCAATAAGGAGTGAGAAATTTTGATAATAAATATTTATCAAAAATTGTGATATTATAAATATTTTATAATAAAATTTGATAATAAAATTTTTAATAATATGAATGAAAAGTTTTAAAGAATAGATAGCCATTGTCATAAATGGTTAGGTATTTCCTTCTCTGAAGAGGGAGGGATAAATTATTATTTCTTTTATTTGTTTTTAATTTTTATTTTTTTTTTTATGGAAGGCTTCACGAATTTGCGTGTCATCCTTGTGCAGGGGCCATGCTAATCTTCCCTGTATCATTCCAATTTTAGTATATGTGCTGCCGAAGCGAGCACATAAATTATTATTTCATTGTAAACTTTGAAGTTTAATTTTTAGAATTCATGTTCATATATGGGTACATTCCATTTAGTTTGATACATATTTTAAATAATTTCTTATGTTGATTTATGCAACAGTATTCTAATGTTTGACCACATATTTAGACTATAAATTTTAACGTTATAGTTGGTTCTGTTTTTTTTGAACAGGAAAAACAATAATATATATCTTTAAAATTGTATATTTGATTGCCTTACATATGAGGAATTTTTATACTTGAAAGTTATTTTGTTATTAATTTGTTCTCATAATGTGAGCTATTCTCCCATAAAGAACGTATGTTTTAAGTTATAATTTAAAACACCTTTCTTTTTAACATGCACACAGGAAACCTCGACCTGTTTCCCAGTTGGTTGCACAGCAGGTTACACAGCAGTTTGTGCCTCCTACACAGTCAAAGAAAGAGAAAAAAGATAAAGTAGAAAAAGAAAAAAGTGAAAAGGAAACAACTAGCAAAAAGAATAGCCATAAGAAAACCAGGTAAATTTGAAGAATGTTTTATGACATTTTTGAAATAATAAAATCATTTAATTTTTTTTAACCTTGATATACTAACACATACAAAGTAGGAGTAAAATATTTGATCTCATAGTATCAGGAAATGTTTGTCTGAGTTTGATAGATAGGTTGGAAATGAAACACAGAAGCCACAAATACAAGCTTAAATGGGTTGCTGCTTTTTTCTTTTTACTAGATTGGAAGACGTTTGTGTCTGGGTGTTTTGTTTTGTTTTGTTTTTCCTTTCAAAAGAACTATTTGAAGCCAGGAGTGGTTTTCAAAGTACCAAACAGATACTTGCATGGGTCATGCGTTTCGAAATGGTTTATATGGGTACATCTAGTACGTAGTTTACTTAGAACAATCATGATACCCTTATTAGTTTGTGTCAGTGGAGTAACAGCCTTCCTTGCATGTAGCTCAACCTTAGCTTTTATCACTTTCCTCCATGATGCAACTATTTGATTGCTGTCTAAAACATCAATTTTAATAAAATGAATAAGCTGTCTGCAAAATTATGATACAGCTAAAGAAGCACAATTAAGTTACTTCTTCTAGGCTGTCACAGCTTTTGGTCACACTGAAGAATGTTCATGAATGATTGGTCTGATTAATGTTTGTTTTTGTTTTTGTTTTTCCCCATTTATTTATTTTATTGCATTTTAGGTTTTGGGGTTGATTAATGTTAATGAGTTGAAACATTTTGTGATGTTTTTGTGGCAGGTTACACATAAATTGCTTTAACTATATGTATTCATTTTATGACTTTTACCTACTTTTATTATTTATTATATGTTCAGAAATTTGGTAGACAGAAAAGCTAGTTTAAAATTTCATTTTTTTATGTTTAGGCCAAGATTGAAAAATGTGGATCGGAGTAGTGCTCAGCATTTGGAAGTGACCGTTGGAGATCTGACAGTCATTATTACAGACTTTAAGGAGAAAACAAAGTCACCGCCTGCATCTAGTGCTGCTTCTGCAGATCAACACAGTCAAAGCGGCTCTAGTTCTGATAACACAGAGAGGGGAATGTCCAGGTCATCTTCACCTAGAGGAGAAGCCTCATCATTGAATGGAGAATCTCATTAAAGTTTATTTTCTCCAATTTCTTAGTTACTTCTGTCCTACCACGCAAATACAGATTATGCCAAGAGGTACCACATTTTCATGACAAACATGTTCATGAACAATCCATAATTTGAGTTTTACATAAAATAGAAATTTGTTAAAATTTGTAGATTTTATTGCAACTATGCCTACCCAAACATTTCCAGACTTAATATTTTGGTATCTGCAATTAAGTGCCATGAAAATGTGGTTGAATTATTCATTATGCAGTGTTATTGGTAAGTGTATTTTCACTTTTAGTTTAGTGAATTCTAACACATAATTCTTGAATTCTCTACTATTGGCATGTAATGAATTTAAATTTTTTATAACATAGTGCAAGCTGCCTAAATATGTATTATTTGAGAATTGTGAAACAGACAGTTATATGTATACAAGTCAAAGATCAACTTAATCAACTATTGCTGCAACAGGTTTTTCTTAATGGTTATCCTCTTAAATACACCTGCTGGTACTTGGTGTGGTTAAATAGGAAAATTGTTATGAAATAAAGAATTTGTATGAACCTTTGCCAATCTTTTGACACGTTTTACTAATTATTGTTCCTGAATTATGTTTCTGGTTTTATCCATTTTTTGAGGTTTTTTTTTTTGTTTCTTTGCTTATTTTTCAAAACATTCATTTATTGTAATGTTTACTAGCAGACTAGTAAACAATAAAATATTGATTATTTAGCTTTATAATTCAGGTTTAGTGCTATTGTCATTGAACACTGGTTTTTTTTTATATCATATAAAACATTAAAATTCAAATAATTATAAGCACTTGGCAAAAACAAGAGAAAAGAAACTTGCCGTATTTTACAAGCTATAATTTTAGAAAAGCTTTATCTTGATAGTTTTATCACTGTTTCCTTGTCCCAAACTTATCCAGGGCCATAGAAGTATGAATCTAATTAATACGGGAATTGTTGCACAGAAATGGGAAATAGCTAATTTTAAATCAGTTAAATTGGACTCTTATTAAATATAACAATTCTTATAAAAATCGTAGTACCCTATTTTCAGACATAACTGCCAGTTTACATATTACTCAGTGTCCAGAAAGGAAAAAAGTACAGCCCCACTTATACTATGTAAAATTACCAATAAAATATTTTTATGACACAGATTTTGCATTTTTGTTTACAACTATTAAAGTGTTTTATGTTGTATTTAAAATTTCAGCCTAGAAACCACACAGTACTTCTTAAATTCTCCTGGGGTCTCCTGCTTCCTCTTAACCATTTGCTTAATATATATCCACCTATAGAAGATGTCTGAATTGTAAATGAACTTAAAAATAGAATGTGGATACAAAATATCACATAAGACATCATGGTAACATTTGAAAAAAAAAAAAATAAAACTGTAGACCCTAACAGTTGTGATATTTGGTGGTTTTGTGTGGTAATGTAATTTCCTGTTTAATTACAGTATTTTTTACAGGCACAGTGGTACTGTCTTTTTTGTAAGATGCTAGTTGTGAAATAGTTAATTGCATACAGTAAAAGTCTGTGATTAAAACATTTATATACCTCATTCTTTAGTGTTGTTAAATGAAAAATTAAAATTTGTGTTTATTGTAAGATACTTTCAATGGAATACCAACTAACCAGTTATGTTCCTTTAAAACATGAATTTTTTTTTGTCTTCTGTTTTTAACATGTTTCAAATGTTTTATATATTCATTTTGAGAGATAGTAAAAATTAAAAAATGTAATAGGGAAAATATTTAAGTCAAAACTATGCTTTAAAGGCATTACATCTTATGATCCAATACTTTCAGGATATATTTTAAATGCGCTGCAAGAGAGAAAAATCTGACAGGAGATGGGATTTTACCTAAATGGAGTATACTCATCTTTCTACAAAGGTGGGAAGACAGTATAGCATGGAGATTAAGCATGCTAACTGACACCTGGTGTTTGAATCCCTGTTGTAGAATGGAAGTGAGCTTAAATTACCCAAGCTTAGTTTCCATCTATAAAACAGGGCTAATGGTAGTCATATCTACTTCATAGGGTTATTGGAGGATTAAGTCAATCCATGTAAAATTCTTAACAATTATCTGACACATATTGGCCATTCAGTAAATGTGAGCTTTTATTATTGTTATAGGTAAAATCCCATCACAAAAATACAAAAATATTTTTTGTAACAAAAATTATTTTCATGCCCTCTTGGATGACCTAAAGTAAAAGTGTTCTATAGATTTCACTAAATTTTCAGTGTAATATCAGATGTTTTCTCTGGACCCAGAAAGACCATCTTTCCCTAATTAAAGAAACTGATGGGTGTGCACTATGAGACTGGAGAAATCAATTAAGTTGACTAGTTTGAAATTTTGTTTTATTAATCACAATTGTCTCAAACTGCCTTTCTTTCACCCTACCTCAAATACACTTCCACACCAGGAAAAGAGACCCAAATTCCATAAATAGAACTGATGTTAAAATATGCAGAAAGATTCAGAAGCTAGTTTTACAGTACATGTTTTGCCGTTTTTCACGAACTTACAATGTGGTTTGAGCAGTGGGTTCTTTTAGCCAAATTCCATACAAAAAGAACTTGGATGTTTTCCAGCATTTACTTTGCTATAAGTAAGAGTGAAGATAGGCTAGGTGCGATGGCTCATGCCAGTAATCCCAGCACATTGGGCTGAAGTGGGCAGATATTTTGAGCTTAGGGCCAGCCTGGGCAACACGGTGAAACCTCATATCTATAAAAAAAATTTAAATATGTATATTTGAAAAGTGAATATGATTATGTATACTTTGAGACACAGAAGAATATTCTTAAAACCTTTTGTATTATACAATAGAAATAAAGGTTTTATTTTTATTAAATGCTTTCCTAAACTGATAGTGAATAATAGACAAAGTGAAAACATTTAAAAAGGAAGAGAAACTTCACCTTTTCTAAGTTGATACTTTTAGATAAAGATCCTTATAGCCTAAAAGAATGCAGCCTCTGCGTATTATATGCATTAATGGTAAATGGTCTAGAAGTTTTTATTTCCACTGAGGTTTCCCCCACCCTATTTTTAAAACTTCCTGCTGTGGTTTGGATGTGGTTCGGCCTTACCAAAACTCATGTTGAGGCCTGATTCCACAGTTTGCTTGTGTTGGGAGGTGGTGCCTTTAAGAGGTGATGAAGTCATTAAGATGGATTAAGGGCTTTCTCATGAGACTCAGTTCTGGAATGGATTCGCTTTTGCAGTAATGGATGAATTCTCACAAGAGTGGGTTGTTATAAAGTGAGGATGCTACTTGTGTTTTGTTCTCTTTGCGCTCCTCAGTTCACCATCTGCTTTCTACCATGAGCTGAAGCAGCATGAGGCCCTCACAGATGGGCTGCCTGATCTTGGACTTCTCAGTCTTTGGAATCATAAGCCAAAATAAACCTCTTTTCTTTATAAATTGCCCAGTCTCAGGTATTCTGTTACAGCAACAAAAATGGACTGAGATACTTTTTCGCTCTGCAACTTACCCCTTTTCCAGAATCTTTTAAGGACTTGATGTAGGAACTGAGTTAGTTAAGTCATTAGTAGAAATTTGGCACTGTACTTTGAAAATTATGTGAAAACAGAAAAGTGAGTGTGTATATAAGGAAAGAAATAGTAAAATAATGCTTTCACTTCTTAGCACTCACCCTCTCTTGTATATCCCCAGGCACCTTCAGTTGTCTTGAACAAAGAATGCAGAACAACTGAAGAAGTTCAGAACAGTTACCAATGACAAAAATCGCTGATCAGAATAAAAAGACAAGGTTACAGAATATATGTTGTTACTGATCACTTTTCAAAAGCAGAAGGAAAAGAATGCTCTCCCTGGCTATTGAGGGTGATGCCCCAAAAAGTTCCTGTAGGGGTTTATTCTTACAACTTGAAATAAAGAAGTTTTTTTCTTTTTCTTTTTTTTTTTTTAAATACTATTTGGCCTGATTTGCACTAGATAGTTGTGACCATTTATAAGAACAAAAGAAAATTATTACTTTCCTGAATGCACATCTCTACCAGCCTGGATAATTTAAATGTTAAGTATGTAATGTGCAGTTGACCTTGAAAAACATGGGTTTTAACTGCATCAGTGCACTTACACATGGATTTTCTTCCAACTCTGCCACCTTTAAGACAGCAAAACCAACCATTTCTTTTTCTTCTGCCTACTCAACATGAAGACTCTGAGGATGAAGACCTTTATGTTGATCAACTTCCACTTAATGAATTGTAAATACTAGTTTTCCTTCCTAATGATTTTAATTTCTCTAGTTTTATTGAAGAATACAGTATATAATACATATACAAAATATGTGTTAATTGACTTTATGTTATCAGTGAGGCTTCTGGTCAACAGTAGGCTATTAGTTAAGTTCTGGGGGAGTCAAAAGTTGTGAGTTTTTGACTGCTTGAGGGTTGGCGTCCCTAACCCCCACACTGTTTAAGGGTCAACTGAATTAGGCTTTGTGCTTAGCCAGTGCAGATATTCCTGTCTTTACAGAATGGTCTAATTCTGGAGCATTATAAGACTAAATAATTCAATGGAAAAAATCGGGTAGCGATCTGGAAGGCTTCAGTGTTCTGGAACATGTTTCCCATTCTTAGTCTCCCCTGTCGGTGGGAGTTACAGACTGTTAATAGCTATTTCGCTGTTGTAAAACATTACTTTGTTGACTGGTTTTATTTACATCAGTATTATTTAATTCAGTGAACACTTATTGAGTATGTATTTTTCTGCTAAATATTATACTAGGGATTGATTACAAACAGGACAAAGATGTGGAATGCACATCTTAGAGGCTATAAATACAATGCCATAACTACAATAATAAAAATGTGTATGAGATACAGAGAAGAGAGAGTGCTCACCACACTTTTGTCTTTAGAAAATTCACTTAGGCTTATTATCTACTGCAAGTCCACAATGAAAATGTTAGGGTCTCATTTTGATGTTTGAAGCTGATAATGTTTGGTGTCACCAGTAGTTTTAGCCAACTACTGTTTTATTTACTCCAGCTTGAATTTTCAAAAACTTAAGACTTTAAGTCATGTAAAGTGAGATAATTTATTTTCCTGCACTAATTTTTTAAAAATCACGAAACAGCTGAAGTCTGCTATTTCCTTTTTGTAAATGAAGAAGCATATTACATCACTCTGTCCAAAAGAAATGTTACTCAGATTTACTTCAGAAAGAGCTTTAATTTGCCTTTTCCTTATGGACAAAGCAGAGTATTGATTGCCTGAAATTTGTGCTGTGATTGTAAGAATCTCCTATTAAAATTGGGTTCAGGCTGGGCGCAGTGGCTCATGCATGTAATCCCAGCACTTTGGGAGGTCGAGGTGGGTGGATAACCTGAGGTTGGGAGTTCAAGACGAGCCTGGCCAATATGGTGAAACCCCATCTCTGCTAAAAAATACAAAAAATTAGCCAGGAGTGGTGACAGGAGTCTGTCACCCAGCTACTTGGGAGACTGAGGCAGGAGAATTGCTTGAATCCAGGAGGTGGAGATGGCAGTGAGCAGAGATCCCACCCCTGCACTCCAGCCAGGCAGAGAGAGGGAGACTCTGTTTAAAAAAAAAAAAAAAAAAAAAAGTGTTCAGTTTTAATAATTGTGTTGGCTTGGTTGTCTGCCTATCTGTAGTCTTTTTAGACTTTTTTTTCTTTTTGTCAAAGGAAAAAGATTTAATAGATTCAAGTTCCACATCATGACAAAAAACTGTGAAATATCATTTTTTCTTCTTCTTTTTGTATTCTTTATAAATATTGGGTTTACTATAGCTCTGTAGTATAATTTGAAGTCAGGTAATTTGATTCCTCTAGTTTTGTTCTTTTTGCTTATTAGGATAGCTTTGGCTATTCTGTCTTTTGTGATTCCATCTACATTTTAGGTTTGTTATTTCTACTTCTGTGAAGAATGTCATTGGTATTCTGATAGGGATTGCAATGAATCTGTATATTGCTTTGGGTAGGTAGTATGGACATTTTAACAATATGATTCTAATCCATCAACAGGGAATCTCTTTCCATTTTTTGTGTCCTCTAAATTTAATCAATATTTTATAGTTTTTGTTGTAGAGATCCTTCTCTTTTGCTTAATTTTAAGATATTTATTTGTGGCTATTTTAATTGGGATTTGGGATTACTTTTTTATTTTTCAGATTGTTCACTTTTGGTATATAGAAATGCTATGGAGTTTTGTATGTTGATTTTTTTTTTTTTTTTTTTTGATACAGAATCTTGCACTGTTGCCCAGGCTTGAGTGCAATGGCACGATCTTGTCTCACTGCAACCTCCACCTCCTGGGTTCATGCAATTCTCCTGCCTCAGCCTCCCAAGTAGTTGGGTTTACAGGTGCCCACCACCATACCCAGCTAATTTTTTGTATTTTTAGTTGAGACGGGGTTTCACCATGTTAGCCAGACTGGTCTCGAACTCCTGACCTTGTGATCTCCCCGCCTTGCCTCCCGAAGTGCTGGGATTACAGGAGTGAGCTAATGCACCCAGCCTGTATATAGATTTTTTATCCTGAAACTTTACTGATTTTGTTTATCAGTTCTAATAGTTTTTTTTTTTTTTTGTGG